CAAACACGGTGCAAATTCTTAACATATATATTGTCAGGGTGTTCCGACATGGAAGCTGTTGTTTCTTATTTAACCTTACGCATAGAAACAATATCCCTTTGGCGTTGGGTTCCGCTGTCTGAAAGAAATTTTATTTATTTTAAATTTCGTAAACCATGAACACTTTACAACAAAAGAAATTAGAGGTGAGATGTGTGAGAGTCCTTGCGTTTTATTATTTACTCTTAGTTGGTTGTATGTTATTTTCAATTTCAAAAATTAAGTTCACTCAATTGACGCTGAATGTTTGGTTTAGTCAATTTATATTCATTGTGAAGAGTGACTTTCTTTTCATCATAGAATATATCTCATCAAATATGGCAGTCTATTCAGATAGTGCGTTTGCTTGTTCTGTTCTTCAAAATCTAAAATGAAAAGATACTTCTGGTAAAAATTGGTGTCTCATTCCACAGTCATCGAGACGTTAACTTTTTTTTTATGTAATACACGCTTATTGTTAAATACAAAAATAGTCCCTATTCTGTCCACCCCTTGACTCTGCGTTGGTCGCGGTTATCGTCAGAGATTACAAAGATTTTAATGTTTGCATTGATATACTTAACACATTGGCCAAAGAAGCAAATCACGTTTTGGAATCTGAGCATGAATCTGAATTGTCCGAAAATGGCAGCGGCTACCATAAAAGTTACTCGAGCGAACCAAGTTCGGTATATGAAAATGGTAGGGAAAAAATTGATCATTTACGCAAATGTATTATCTGAACGTATCCTAAATATATCTGATATCAAATTTCGAAAATTAAGGCGACGGTTCGGTAACCAGTGTCGATTTTCTGATGGATCATCTTTATTTTGAAGACGAATTCGATTTTGATGGTAAAGATGAAGAGATAATGCCGGATGAGGAGATCGAAAGATATAATTCATGTTGCTCCGAAGGCGAGTTTACAACTGAATCGTTAGAGGGATTCTTGAAGGAATGTTTCCCGACGCTCTCTAAAACTAAGATCAAATCTTTGATTAGAGAATGTAACGATGCCGAGATTATTTTTGAAAAAATTTTGAAAGAAGCGCAGCAAAAAGAAACCACATACTCGTATACATCATCTTCAGGTTCTTTCGTAGTGAGGGGTGATGATGATGAGGACAACTCATTAATATCTGAATCGCGATTCAAGCATCGAAAGAAGAAAAGATTAAGGAAACAATTTCAAATCGATTCTTATTCTCCAAATTTTAACACAACCCCAAATAGTCCAACTTCAAAAACGACACCGTTATCACCTTGGAATACGCAGTGGCCCCCACCTGAGTCGGAAAGACTATCATCTTGGGATAGCCAATGGCCGCCGCTACCATCATCTGTTCCTCCAGAAAAGAAGACACATACCAATGTCTCATGCGATTATAAACCAAATTTAAGTGATCAACGAGACTCGATCATTAGATTATCTGACATATTTCCTGATCGCAGCGTTCAATCATTGGAAAAGGCTCTAGAGACCGCAAATGGTGTTGAAGAGCGTGCTATCGAGATATTATTAGGGGTGAATACTGTAGCTGAGGATAGAGCATGTTCAAACAATTCATCGCGCAGTACGTTCTTATCGGATGGGCTCGGTTTTAAAATTGAAACTGAGCAATATAAAGCCATTAGACCGAAGAAAAGCAATACTCCCATTAGGTCACCAAATACTTTCACTTTAACCCATGCTTCCTCTTCTACGAGATTCACGCACGATCAAAATCCTTCGGATGACGAAGCAAGTTCTGATTACGAACCCAAATATTGTCGCCAAATGGCCAATGAATGCATGGAAAAACGTAATGATGCATTCCGAAGAGCGGTCAAGGCTTGGAAAAGTTCGCGCAAATCTCGTTATGGTGACGGCGGAATTGCATCCCACTATTCAGCCGAGGTATGCTTTGATTCATTTGGATTGTTGCTAAGGTTGACTCTCGTATGACCAACTTTTCATGTTATAGGGACATAAATATGATCAAGAAATGAAAAAATGGAATTCAAGAGCCGTGAAGTCTATGTTAAAACAAAGAAGGTATCGATCGTTAGCTTGCTTGTGTAGCAAGATTCAGTGAGAGTTCTACTCACCCATTCCACATTTTCCTTCGTAAAGTAGAGTAGATGAATATCTCCTTGATCTTCACGGGTTGACAGTCAATGAAGCTACAACAGTTGTAAAAGAAAGATTAAGTCGATTGCATAATTCAAAGGGGACGACGAAATCTGGTAAGAATGTTCATGTCATATGCACATATTATTTCAAAGAGCATCTCACGATTCTTTATTTGCTCAACTACTTTTCATAGGCGATATGTTCTTCAGGCCACTAAAAATTATTACAGGTATAGGCAAGCATTCGCCTAATAGAATAGCGAAATTGCCGGAGGCGATAGACCGCTTTTTGCACGAAAACAATTGGGACTTTTCTAAACATAAAGGATATGTACTGGTCAAAGGTCGTAATAGTAAGTAACAGTGAGTTATTTACACACGCACATATAATGTCTATCTATGTATGATCCTAAGATAAATTTTGGAAAAAACCAAGTTGCATAATAAACGCCCTATGATTGTTAAATGAATTGCTAACAATTTTTATTTATTTGCCATGAAAACACTGAGTTTATATTATTCGTTGTGCCCTCCAATCCATCCATCCATTTTCAAAATCATCATCATCATCATCTTGTTCGTCGTCGTTTTCACTAAATTGTTCTTCCGTGCTTCTCTTTTCGATAACATCGATCATCTTCTTTTCTCTGGTTTCTTTGACACGTTTAGCTGCAGCCTTTAGTCGTTCCGACCTTTCGAAACACATCTCTTGCTCTCTTTCTAGCATCTCATCCCTGTCCCGTTGTAATTCTTCCTCTTCCGCAAATGCGATTTGATTACTGACTTGTGTTTCTTTGGAGATGAGTTTTTGAAATTGCACCCACTCTTGCTCATCTATTTCGGTTTTAGTTTCCTGGTGGGCTACATTCATGGATTTATGTGATGTAGTTTTCGATGGATCATCAAAGAAGTCGGCCGGAAGCATTTGATCTATTGTCTCGACCGAGTCTTTTGCTTGTGTTTTATCTATATCCATATTCAATTGGTCAGAAATCTGTTCTTGCGTTTCAGCAGAGGACACTTCATTAGAAATTTCTTTGTTGTCTTCATCCATTTTAGCATTGTTATCAAAGAAGTCATTTGGTAAAGCCGCGTCCTGGGAAATTTGAGATACCGCTCCATCAATATCGAATTTGACCCTTTTTGCTCTTGGATTCACTTGTTCGTCTTCCTCATCACCCTCATCAGAACCATACTCGACTAACGATTCCTTGATATTGTCATCATTTACATCCGTCTCTATTGACCTCTTCTTATCATTTTCGGATAGTAAAGTAATCACATTTTCCGTGCCAGTTTTTTTTGCCGCATTGAAGGGAAGAATGGTACTTTTTATTTTGTTTCGGTCTTTATTGGTATTTGAAGAATCTACTACTTTTTCCTTTGCACCTTTTAGTCTTTTTAAGGACTCCTTGTGACCCAAGCTGATCAAGTGTGTGTTCCAGGATGCAGAATTTTTAATCTGAACGGAACATACAATACAGATGAGCTTGTTACCGTCGTCATATTTAGCAAAAGGGTGATTCACTCTTGAAGCAACTGAGCTTGAAGCTTTTTGCTGACGTTGCTGCAATGTCGTGGAGAGAAGACGACGTACTTCTTTAGATTTTTGTGAGGACATCTGAAAAGTTAACAAGATAATACCCGATCGAGATTCTAATTATAAATTTAAAATTTTAACCAATCACAGATGTTGTAGGTGAATTAGATCTATTTTTCCCTTGAAATTGAATCCAATATGAATAAATAAAGTTAGTCTTTACTATGCATATCGTATCCCATATAGGT